CAAGTTGTGCTGCATAGATTCTGCTATAGCCCAGGAGTGCCGCGTAGTCCGCGTAGGCAGCACGATAGTAACAGTGTGTTCGCGTAGTCTGCTCTGCAGGGAAAAAGGCCATCCGCGTAGTTCGCGTAGGCAGTCAATCTTAGTATAAGGACTTTAACCTTAAAAAAAAAACAATGCTCAGATGTTTTCACCGGCCCTAGCGGTTGTTGCTGTCCTTTTCAGGCTCCTGTAGTATTCTAGCGGATTAACTTGCGGTCAACCAAGCCAGTGTGGACCTTTCAACTCTAGTTACTCTACAGAATGCCCATGAAGCCGAAGTTGAAAGCCACCAGGCTCTTCAGCGGCTCCTGAGCCAAGAACTGCAAGCACGACTCTTCATGGTCATCGCTTCCTGGAAAGTTTGGAGGCTTGAGAATCTTCAGGTTCGAAGCACTCGAGCTGAGACAGCCGGAGTGCAACAGCCCAGCTTTATCATTTCTTTGTCAAGGAAGACCCCCTAGAGGCCAGCCCAAAGTCCACATGAGCCATAGTCTAAACTCCTTAAAGGGGGATTATATAGGGGATTGCCATGAGGGATATTAAGGGGCATACTAGGAGTTTAGACTATAGCTCACATGATTGATCTGCATTTTCGAGTCTCTTATAGTAGCGCCTCTTCTAATCAGGCTGTGAATAGATGGGTTCACTACCTACATCGCAAGGATTGAAACATGCAGGAACTATGTAATCCAAAGGTCCTAGCTGACCCAAAATCTGCCTTAGCCTATACCGTTTGCCCCTTGAACGGACGTCTGGTGCATGTCAGCTGCAGACCTTTTGCAGGAGGATGACCGCAAGATGCCGGGCAACAGCGTGCTTCCACTGTCCATGCCAGGAAAGTCACCTGGGTCCAGGGTCTCTTTCCAGCACCGGTCCTGTGACTCTAGCCGCCTTGCAGCTTCTGCTGAGCTGGTGGCGTCATGCTCAGGGTTCATTTGTTAGGCAAGAGTTCTCACACGAGTTTTTGTTGTTGCTGTGGACCTTCTCACAAGGATAGTCGAGCCAGTCTTTTACCTTGTGGTGTGATGAGCACGTTCTGCCGTTCTCAAATTTGGCTGCAACCTTTGGGTTGTTCAGCAGAGCTGACTTGATTTGAAGGCAGAAGTGGTGTCCATTGGACATGCTGCAAGCTTATTGTGAGAGTCCTCAGCATATTCTGGATTCAACTTATCCGATGCTGGTTACGACAAGTTACCTGCATCAACCCTCCCTTCTAGACAGAATTGTTGTTCCAGATCGGTCGCGGCACGAGGCAATGGAGTCAAAGTTGGGAAGCAACCAAAGCAGAAGCTTCCTTCAAAGTCAGCCAAAGAGCTCACACGAACCTTCATCAACGGAGTTCTGCGCGAGGCACGCGCGAATCCCGCTGCAACAGACAGCAGCCTGCACTGACAGCGATGTTAGAAGTTGAGCGCCGCATGCGATGCATGAACAGCTGGCCCTCATGGCCATGATGGCCCGCCTATGCCCACACGCTTGAAAAGACGGAAGTACCAGCTGCAAGAGAATCACAAAAGAGAGACACTCTTTAAGTTTCACTTTGGGTTCACGGGCAATGGCGTGTTCGTGTGCGAATGCATCACAGGGCCGCATTGCCGTGGGCAGCTGTCAAAACTAGAGGACCCCTTTAGCATTGTGGATGCCAGCTTTGATATGGCGCGAGACATGCGAGACATGTACCGGTTCGGGTTCATGGCCATATCCAAAATTTGATAAGACTCAGCGAAGTCAAGGAAGAGGAGGGCAGTATCAAACCCTGAAGCAGCAGCAGTCCACAGGTCCCCAAGGCTTTTTTGTAATGCGGAAAGAATGCTGAAAACTTTCTGCAAGCAACTAAAGCAAGCCAGCAATTGCCAGAACTGAAGTTGCCGACGACTAGCATCTCCTGCCGTGGAGTGATTGTGCCCATACTGACTTTGTTTGTGATTTTCGAGGTCTTTCGCAGACAATGTCTAGCCTGCTGCTTGATATGGCTTGGTCGTAGGCGAACCAGCTAACATATGAAGCTCACGCAAATCCTTAATCAAGTTGATGCCATCCAATTGCGAAGTGCTCTGCCTGCTGTGTCTAGTGCCAGTCGCAGCCCCGCGCTAGGCGCTCGTGCTCGCGCCTACGCGTGAGCTTGCGCGGCAGATTCAGCTGGAGGCACCTCCTGGACAGAATGGCATGAAGTCATGTATTCTAGGAAGTGTGAACGGACTCCTTAGCACAGCCCATAACATGCCATGGTGAGCCATGGTGATTGACTCGATACTACTTTTCAGTCCAAAACACCATGAGCCCTTGCCAAGGCAAATGCTGTTTCACTGAAAGCAGCATTCAAGTTGAAGCTGATCTGCACCAACCGTTATCTAAAGCAGTGCATGTCCGGAACATGTGAGCGCGTCGCGCAGCCCATTCCACAATTGCGATGATGTTAATGCCTGAACTGCTCTTCACCGCTGGAGGCCCAGCCCAGATAACAAATCAGGAACATCTCATCATCTTCTTTATTATTAGTACTATTTTTTTTTATTCATTTTATCATCATCATCATCGTCGTCATCGTGCTCATCATCATCGGTATGAAAGCCATAAGCATTCTCATTATCACATCTTGCAGCTTCTACCGCCCCCAGCTTCATGTCCGCAGGCGCTCCGCTTCGGGCGATCCTCCGGCATCCTTTGCTGCAACTGCACTGGTGGCGAGTCCAAGGGCGAGCAGCTCGAGGCACAAACTGCATCTAACGCTGCTTGTAATATTAGCATGAATGGTAGAAACATGTACTGCAGGAAGAAGAGTGATTCAACAAGTCAAGAGTGATGAGAGTCCCTAGCAGAGACAGAGCCAGATTTGAAGCTACCATTTCCTTCATGAAGCTGCTTTAGTCCGGGCCTTTGGGCTGTTTGAGCCCAAGGATCCTGCAAGCCTTCATCTCGGCCTTCCTTGATGGCATCAGCTTCATAGTGCATCGATGTCTGAGGGATGAAAATGCTCCTGTACACTCCCAACCTCCCAAAACTCTATTATGAAAGCTCTTTGCCCAGTGGCTAAAACGCGGCTGCCACATCATCGTGGCGACCCCGGGCCGCCTGAACGAGGTGGACGATAAAGCATCTCAAAGTCAGGGCTTTTCTACGGTACTGGTATGGTGGTCTTATGTGGGATTAGATGGGACCCAGCATTTGCAGCAGGGCCTTGCGGGGCACTGTAAGTAGGCAGGAGATGCAGCGGGGGCGCCTCAAACACGTTTGTCTTGAGCGCTAATTTTCAGGCTTCATGAAGATTGGAGTGGGTTTGGAGGGTAGGGAAAGCTGCATTGGAGTAGTGGTCCAGAGTCGAGACACCCCAGGTGTTTTCGAACTTGTGGTTCCTCACGGCTGGTGTAGCTTAGAATCGAAGCATTTGGCAGTTTTGTCTTAGGTTCTCTAAAGAAGCGTGCCATGCACCCTCAAAAGGCCCCAGTCAATGATTTCCATGTTGGCTGTTCTTGATCCACGTAAGGAATCAATGCTCACAATCCTCATATGAGCACTCATCTGATCCCATGTATCATAAGCCACCACAGGATCTTGTTCTGCATGTCGATTTGACATTGTGAGGGTCTCAACCTCCATGAAGAACCCCGTCCAGAAAAGAGCCCACCAGACTAGGGACCAGCGACACTGTCAATTATTCGATTTGATCGTAAAATCTCATGAAGCATGCAGTACGCCCAGGGGATTCCTTGACTTTCAGCAAGTTTGAGACCCCTATAGAATCCCAGCTCCTATTTCATGTTCCATTTTCCCAATGATTCTCCATTATCGAAATCTGATCCCTATGCATTACATGTAATATATCTTCCTTGACATATAATCCATATCATGTTTATATGTACCAGAACCTTTTCGAATCACTGTACTCCTTTCCTTCCGTGTGCAGTTCCGCGAGAAGCAGCAAGTTTGGCTCGGCCAAGTCTCGTATCTGACGCTGGACGAGGAGCATGGGGAGAACATGGCTGAGAAGGATTTTGACATAGATGGTCCGCTAAACCCTCTTTGAGCTATAGTCTGAACTCGTTACAACCTGGGTGAACAATGGAGACTATATAGGGGAGTATTATAGGGCTTCTTAAGGGGGATGCTAGGAGTTTAGACTATAGCTCCTGAAAATTGCAGTTTCCATTTTCCATTCCCCTACATGCCCCTATCCTTCTAGGGGGAGGCACCATGCGCGAAGTATCCAGAAAGGTTTGGGTTGCAATTCTCACTCTGCCAAGCACCCACGCGTGAAGCCACCCCTTGAAAGTTCGGATGCTGCCAGGCAGACCGAATGCTGGACATGGGCTTCGAGCCGCAAATTAGACGAATTGTGGAGGCTCAGCCGTTGCTTGCTAAAATGAAATCGGAGCACGCGATAGGAGGGGTTGTTGCGAAGGTCATGTTCTAGAGCAAAGATCCTGTTGTTACCAGTCGTTTGTTGCAAGACCTTCCTCAGGTCCTTTGCAAGAAGTCCTCCAGATGATGAACTGATATCTTCTGGGCTGTTCACTCCAACAGTATGCAATAAAGAACAGGACAAATCCTTCTTCTCCAGAAGACCGATGTATATACGACCCAACAGGACTATCGTTGAGCATGAATTTTGACAAAGCCCCGAACTGGATCTTAACGAAGTTAAGCGCGGTTGATAAACAACCGTAGCAGGGTTTGGCCTGCCTGTTCATACCCAGCTTGCCAGGACTGCCCCACTAGGCGGCAGACTCTGCTTTTCAGTGCGACCTGGCCAAAGGCATGCCTCCGGAGACTTGCAATTTGTAGTGCATGCTGGATTATGGCCACAGAACTTGGCAGCTTTCAGGTCTAGACCAGTTTTGCACCATGCATGCATTTTGCGCATGGGTCGTTTTTTGGCTCCGCTGCAGCCGCTGACTCCACATGGACACACGGTTGCCAAGAACATCCAACTTGCCTGATTGTCTTGGACAGTGAGGCTAATCGTTGGATACCCCTCGTCTAAGGTTGTTGCAACAAAAAGGGGAAGGACGATACGAACATGATTTCGCACAAGCACCAAAACAGCAAACAAACGACGCAGCAGTCCCAGTTGCTTGGTCACAGTACGCTTTAAAGCCGAAGCCATTGAGCCTTTCGCCTGTCAGCAGGCCCCTGGCAGAACATGACGCACAGCCCTGGAAATCACTGCTACGTGTATTGTTTGATGTGGAGCTTGCACGACAGATCATCATAAGAAGTACATTGAAGTACAAATCCGACTGTTGCGCTGTCTCTAGATTTTTGAGGTGGGCCGTCGTGAGAGATACCCACTTAAAGAGTGCCAGTTGACGCGATTTGGTCGCAAATCTTTGCGATGATTGAGACAACAAAAAACCACATGAATATGCAGGATGTCCTGGTTCTCGGGTGGGCTCCGATCTTAGATGTGGCAGGCACAGGCTGGTTACACTGCTCCAAACATAGGCAAGGTCATGCTGAGGAGGCCATACACCAATCTATTCAGCATTGCGCACGTAAGAATGCACTTGGTGGTGTAGAAGGCCGTCGTCCAACAGGTAGCATTAACAATAAACAAGAAGGCGGGCCAGTTGCTTGGTCTTTGCTGGCTTTCGACTTCAAAGCTGAAACTTAACATCTGACGACTATCTTCCTTCCGCTACTTTTGCAAGCCGCGATTTTCTTCCATGGCCTCTTTCTTCCAGCAGTTCGGCATTGAAGTGGTACATGGTTTCTATGGTTGTTGCAATCTGGTTCGGACATTGCAGGCCCGGTTACGGGCAAGTTCGAATTATGATACCCTTATGCTCGTGCTTGCTACGACCATGGCTTGGGAGCTTAGCCGACAAAACGCTGCATTAGGAAGATTCCAAGTCACATGAGCAATGCCCCAGTCCAAATTCCGTCATTCGTGAGACGGAACGCGTCCAAACTTCGCCGCTCCGAATCACTTGCACCTGGCGTGTGGAAACCCCTGCTCGCCATGCTTCATGTCCGAGAGCCGTGACATCCCTGAAGTTAATTGTAGACGAAGCTTCAGACTCAATCTTCATGCCATGCTCCGAACTCTCGAAAGTTCCAGTTCCGCTTTCTTATGGGAGAGCTAGATTCACTGCCATGATTTGGGTAACACCTCGGAGTTGAGGCACAAGGAGCCCTTCTTTGCTGGCCTGATCTTTCTGGGCTTCCCATGGTCAGGAATTACCTTGCCAGACGTGGTCCCATGTTGTGGATCCCATAAAGTCATAAAGGGATCTTGTTTGGGGAGCACGTTGTTTTAAGGAAGGTGTATGGAGACCTGATTTAACATTTAATTAACCGTAAGCGCATACCCAAAGAGCTCCTAAAGCTGCATAACGCCCAGGCGGCCGTCCGTCGCATCTGTAGCGGCATTAGCATGTGCAGGCCAGAGAAGATAAGCACTTTGCCAACATTTCGGGTGGCCACAGTGCAGTTTAGAAGCTGGGAATACCGTGATGTAAAAATGAAGTGCTTGCCAGGCTTAGGAGGACTTCCTTCTATGAGTTTGAGCTTGCCAAATCATTGAAAGTCGTGTTTGGACAGCAAGGTGCCTTCTGTAGGATGCGTGTTCAGGACATTGCAATGATCTGGGCTGTCAAGCGAAGCATTAACACTTCTCATCCTAAGTTGTTGCTCTTGGAGAAATTCGCTTCAGGTTCCGGGCTTCCTCTGAGGTTTATTGCAATAAGTGAGCGCGGGACGGCCGCCTTGTTGCTTCTCACTCTCACTTGTTGTGCCGTCACGGCCCCCGTAAGCACTGGCTCAAGGGCTTCTCACCCTGTACCATGTTGAGCGTGATGCTCCGTTGGAGGCAGGGCGCATGTTCGAAGGCATGCGGACAGTTACGCACAGGGCTTCAGAGCAAGCAGAATCAAATTGCATGTCTGGAACACATACAATAGGAGATTGAGTTGTGGCATATTGCCCTTTTGCCGAGATCTTCAGGCTTCCGGCACTTTTGTTGGCTGGATGTGCATCCGGCAATTTCATTGGTGACGAGCTTGAACTGGATCTCAAGGCCACGAGCCCGCAAAAGTAGAAGTGGAGAGTGCGACCTTCCATCACTCAGACGCCCAAAATGCAAGTTTCAGCTATGCAGGAGAACATCTCCATTCCTCTTCCCCCAGGGTTCACAGAGCCACGGCTGCAGTATTGGCCTTGCCCAGGTATGTTCCTTCACACAGGTCCCGGAAAGCCTAGCTCAAATAGGAGGATTCTGAACGACAAGGGCCCAAACGGGATGTCAGTTGGACAGGCTTCGATTTGAGGGTGGTGGCTGGCTGGTACGGGGAGTGAGCTGAGGCCCTGTCGCCCTACCTGCCAGGCAAGCTTGTGGTGTCTGGTCTGGATATGATTTTTCAGCCTTTTCTTGTCATGAATATTGTGGTGTCCTGACTGAACTACACTACCCCTGCCGCTGCCACCATCAGCACAGATGCAGCTGCCGGTAGTGCTTGCTGCTTACTGCTTAGAGCTACAGCTGCTGCTGCCACTACAACGGAGACAAGGATGGTGACGAGTACTTCTACTAACTAATGCCATTGCTGGATCATGATCGTCCCACTCTTCTGAGTGTACCATTTGCGTGCGAATCTCGTTGGCATCAGCAGAGACTTAGCGAATTCTTCCTGCCTGGCGAAGAAATGATAACGTGAACTGCGTGCCAAGGTAACAAGCTTTGAATCCACACCTCTACTCGGGAAGAATGGTTCCTTGGCAGCATGCAGGTGATGCTTGGAGCAGCTTTTCCAAACACAAAAAGTGACACACTGTTCTGAGGTGTTTTCATGGTGGACGTGGGAACCCACTCGGGATCGGCTGAGGAGTGGCAAAGTTCCAGAGTGGAGTCCCAGAGTTGTGATGTTCCAGCCAGCAAGATGCAGATCTTTCATGATCTTTCCTGAGACTCTGAAGCCAAGCTTGTGGGATGTTGCAGGAGCTGCCCGGGACTGGAAAGATCAATTGGCCCAATAGCGGCTTGGTCCAACCTGAGTTGTGGGGTCAGTAGGTTTTTTTTGTTGGTGCGACCTATGTCTTCAGGCTTGACTTTCAGTTCTGCTCCGTAGAAGCAAATGACTCAAATACACAGCGGCAACCAAAGTGATAGCAGCTGGAAGTGTCTCTTGTTGCGTCTTCGGCCGCAGGCTTCCCAGAATTCAAGAAATTCTCAGGCGCTAGTCGGTGCTAACGTGAGTATCCATTATTTGTGAGGGTTCACCGACTTAAAAAAACTGATGACGAGCCGAGGCATCACCACTCTGAACACGAGCGTCTTCGGTTTCGCAGCCGTTGCGGTTGGCAATGGATTCTTGGTGCCGACTCACACCACAGGCTTGTGAACAGACCATAGCAAGGGGCGAGCTTGACCGTAACCATACCACCCCTCTTGTAGAAGGAGTTGTGATGAAAAGCAAGCGGCAATTTGATAGCGCTCGTAATTGGAAGCTATCACACTCATGGGTTGTGCTTCAAGCCCAAGTTTCTTGGCACCAGGTGGTGTTTACATCATGGAGGCCAGGCTGGCCATTTCCGGCTGTGCTTGCTGTCTGTACCCGGCAGTCTGCTAATTGTTTCTTTGTTGATTGAACCCTTCCCATCTGGAAACTTCAGGCGTCGACTGAGCCTACAACCTTGAAAGAGCCTGCACCGCAGCTGCAAGCTGAAAGTTAAGGAGGTACCTTAAGGCTTGACACTGCTCACAGCAGATGTGGCCGTGTCACTCACGTAATCAAGGTCAAGATCTCCAAGGACAATTCTGGATGGTTCTACCATCAGGCGGCCCCGTGGTTCTGCTTGCATCAGCAAGGGTTTGACTTAGGACACAGCCGCATGACGATGAGAACAGATCACTTCGCCTGAGGCGCACTTCGTGGACATGGATGGAGATGGACTGCTCGATGTCCTTGCGGCCAGATGCACATATCCTGTGTGGCCATGGGCCAAGAAGCAAGGCGAGCTCGTTTGGCTGAAGCAACCGGCACAGGATGCATTGGCTGGGCAGCCATGGCAGCTCGGCTCTCCTTTGGACTCCTTTGGACGTTGGCTTGTTGTCAAAGAAGCAATCCAATAAACTCTCAACGAACACCCTGAAATAAGGCAAGAGCAAGAGCTTGGCCCTGGTCCGGACTTCCTCTTCTGCGTTCATCCGAACAGCTCAAGGGTCTCTTTGGTGGCGCCAGAGTATATCAGCGGGCGTGTAGTGTACTGGCCGCTGGGTGGCTTGCAGAAGCTTTCCTTGGGGCCTTAGGGTTATTGTGACTGTTTAACCAATGCCCACTGCTGCCTTGCGGGGATCAAAAATCAGGATTTCGGGGTCGTGACAGGACCCTATGGGATTGTCTATGTCGTTATGTGTTGTTATAGATTATTATAGAATCTTGTATTTCTGGGGGCCTGCTTTTCAAGGCTAAGGGGCTTCGCCCCAAAACCCTTGCACGAGGTTCATGGGCTGGGCAGGTATTTGAGATGCTGGCCGCACACCGCAGATTCATGCAGGGCGCACGCTCTTAAAGGGGAGTCTATTTACTCGGCCCCTACAGCTGCCCCAAAACAACATATTGCAGACCCTTAGCATGATAGCTGGGAAGGGACTTATACTTCTGAGAAATCAACAGTCTGAAGCGTATGTAGATACAAAAGCGCATCTTGAACCATGCGCTAGCCCAGGTACCAGCAGGAGGATGGTTCAATGGCCAGCCGCTTGCTGGACGACACCATTGGCCCCGGCTTCTCCTGCTCCTGGACTGATCTGTCCCTGGCTCAACCTGAACAACTTTTGGTTTGCATGTCTACTTGCGTAGTAATGGCGTATATAGTATAGTATCTCATTGGCAAGAATGTCAGTGAAAGATTTGTGCATCTGGAAAGATCCCTATCTCTGCTGTTTCGCGCATCATTCAGGAATGCCGATGGCCACCTCGACCTGCTGCTGACAAACCATGCAGCCACCAACGGGTCAGTCTTCGCTTACACTTTCAGTAGCTAGGTTGGCGCTGAAGGGGTTGACTGTTCTGCTTTACTTACTGGTTCGAGGCCTGCAGCATAGAACCCTTTGTAAGAGGATGTAAGAGGACTGGATTACATGATGGACCCTATTTTTTTGAGAAGTTCAAACGGCCCACCAAGGTAGCGATGATGTCGCCGTTGCACAGGTTTCAAGGCATGTGCTGGCCACGGGCTTCACTCCCGTGAAGATCAAGACGGGCAGCGCCTCCCCTGGTGATGCCATGGCTTTCCAGCCGCAGATACTGGGATCCCTTTGAGGAAGTTGTGTCCTTCTACAAGCTACGCTTATGGCGTTTAAGTTAGCTTAAGTTCTGAAGAGTTTTTTTTTTGTCTGGGACTTTGGGAGCGCAGGATCAACCTCAGTGGCAAGCCTTTCATCTTCGTGTCTGGAGATAACTCAAATAGCATCTTCCTCATGCGGCCTGCGTCCCAGGACCCGGCTGATTGGAACTATCGGTCCTCAGGTGCAAGTAGGAGAAGTTTTGTATGCATCATGCAAGGGCACCTGCCGTGTAATGTTTCGCTGAACAGAAACCCATTTCGAAAGAACAGAGAAACTCCGGGAACACTGCATGTCACAGCATCATTTGAAAGCCTTTGAGAGCTGAGGTTGGAGCAGATTCACGACTTTGGTGGAGACATCGGGCGGCCTTCCATTGGCGATGTGGACAACAACGGCTTTGCAGAACCGTGGACTTGCAACGGAGGATTTTCGTAGTGGGTTCCTGCAGGGAGTTCAGCTTTCAATAACCCACAACGGCCCTTTGCTCGGATCCATATAATTACATAGCTATTGCTATTGCTGCTGCTGCTGCTGCTGCTGCATCAGGCGGCATCAGGAGCAGCCAGTACTACGAGCATGATAATGGTGGTGATGATGATGATGAGCGTGATGGTTAGCATGGTGATAAGGGTGACGTCGATAACGGAAGCGATGATCATGATGCTGATCCCGATGTTGATGAGGAATGATGTTTTCAAATTATTCGCCATCGATGTTACAAACATTGTCATGTTTCTTTGGCACGTTGGCAACTCTAAGGACATCTTCGTGCCACTGTATGATTTGAAGCAAGTGGCACACTACGAGTTTCGAAAGTCGCAGAGCAGGGCGGTGGAGATCCTCGTCTGAGGCCTGGTCGGTGCTCTGCCCTAATTCGCCATTTCACCGAGCCCTCTCCGTGAACTCTTTCAAGGAGGAGTTCTTGAGCGGGATGTCAAGAACAGGGGGTCGGCTTAGAGTTGGGTACAGACTGTTGACTCGAAATGCTGAGTCAGCGATTTTCCAGCAGCGGTGAGGCAGAGGATGCTCTCATCGCTCGCTCACAGCTTCCAAGAGGAATTGTGATTAAGAACACGAAGTCTTTTTGCCTTGGCTTTGGGATCAAATTGCTGTACAAAGGGAGCCGGCCGGTTCGTGGTGCTTGGCACGAACTGGCAGGCCTCAGGATACCTTGCAAGCTCGGTTTGGAGTTCACAAAAGGTTGAAAGCTCGCACAACACGACATGATGATCAGTACAGAATAGCACTATGCCAGTCACTTTTCTTAGCATCATTGTCCCATTTAGTTGGGGGCCTCGACGGCCCGGCCAAACCTGGGAAGGGGTTGAATAGTAATTGCTTGTCTGATTGCGCCCGAAAAAGGAATGCTCTTGAGGATTCCAGCTATCAAGTTGCCTGCACATGACACTGACACCATCATCGTGAAGCCTACACTGGATCCTTGGATCCTTTCGAGCCCCAGATGATCTTGCTGGCAATGAAAAGGACACAAAGTCACCGTCAGAGCAACGAGGACCATGTCAGGCTTGCAAAGCGATCACACTGAAACTAGAGTCTCAACTGCGTACCCTGCTTCACGCAGCAGCAGTGTAGAAACAGCACCCAGACGGTGTTCGGATCCTGGGCAGGGCATTTACTCGAGGCTTGCTCCAGGTGAAAATAAATCAAAAACTAGTGCAATTACGTGACACTGTGCTCCTCCCGCAGGCGTAGTAGAAAATCCCGAGCCACTCTTTGCAGACGTGCAGTCTTTATCCGGAAAACACGGAACAGCCTGCAGGTGGCGGCCTTGCAGCTGCCGCCTGGGCGTTGCAACGGCAAAGAGCCAAAGGCACTGCCAACCAGGACCCTTGGTTTAGGGAGGACCGAGTGGGTTTCTGAATTTGATGGTAGCAAATTGCTTGAGCCGATTAAGATGACAAACTTGCTTCCAGGACTGCAGGGTCAGAGTGCGGATCCTGCCGGACACCCTGCTGAGCGAATTCTTGAAGGATTCCGTAGCTGTCGTACATGTGCCGTGTAGATCCTTCAGGATTGAGGGCTCGCTTTACCCTCTTGGTTTGCTTTTTTCTCTGCATGGAGTTTATTGAGGCGTTGGGCTGGACAGAGCTCGGACTATGTAAAGGTTGCCACTCCTACATGTCGCTTTGCACGCGTTGCATCGCTTCGAAGAAGGCCACCATAGCTACTCTGCAAGTGGGTGCTGACCTCCAACAAAATTGTGTGTACATACTCGTAGGTAAAACAGAAACAGCCGTTGAGAACTAACCAATGACCAAAGCCGAGCTTCTGTTTGATGATGTGCAGTGCTTGCACACATCTGCTAATTTGACTCTGCAACCTTGGCGAACAGAACTGCTAATTGCGTTTGTTCCTCTTCCACCTCCACCGCTGTGAGGTATGCCTCAATGTCAGGAACGTCTAGGGCAACGGACAGGCACTCAGAACACCACGGCACAAGCCTGTCTGTCGAAGCCCACGAAGTTCTACCAATGCTCGCCACTGGCACCTGCAAACCAGCCGCAGCAAAGATCGTCTTTACTTAGGGAGCCCAGGCCGCTGTAAAACCAGAGGACCGGAACCTTAGTCATACAGTGTTGTACAGTGAATGGGATTGCCTGCAAATTCTTTTCCGGCTTGTTGAAGTTGAGAGGCTGGAATGCTTTCACTCACTATTGAGGCCTTCGCACTGGAGGAGAGTATACGCATGGCGCTACCTGACCCATCGCATCAGGCTGCGTGCGCAACTTGGGTTCCCAAGAACAGTCTTCGAGATTTTACAATCATCGGGGATGGTCTAGCTGGGGTCGTTAGAAATTTTCGATCTTACCATAGGGAAGGGATGCTGATGAGAAGATTCAGCATATAGCCACGAAGGAGACTCTTGTCGAAACTGTTGAAGATTACCCTTTAGCATAAAGGGCCACCACCATGTAGTCCAGTTGGTTGTAGTGTCAGTCGTGTGTCGCGCAAGACATGCTAATTAATTCTGGAAACTATGCTATTTGCTCACCGGAGTCTCACCGGCTTTCCCCGCAGCATACAGCATGCCGAGCAATCACCTGTCCAGCCATGAACGCTCCAAACATGTGATGGAGATAAGTAGTGCCAAAGATGTGGTTTTCAAGTTTTCAGCCAGGCGAACCTGCAGATCATTGTTGAGGACCTGTCGACATTTGTGTTCGACACACTCCTCTCACGCGTGTGCCTGAGAAAAGCGTGCTGGAGCCACTTGATACCAATGTTCATTTCGATTCCCCAAACCCAAATCTCTGCTAAGACATATGCACGCGCGCAAGGTTCGCACATCGGCGTAGCAAGAGTTCGCTCGAGGATGCTGCATGTTGGGGCCTGTTCGTACTGAGGCTATTAATTATGAGCTTCGTTCCCGTGACTCTATGATTGGGAATAGAGGCCCCTTTTGCAAACCAAGCGCAGTCCTTTTCCACTGGAGGATTGAGACAGATCAGTCTTCATGGTAAGCATCCTGGTCTTGGCAGTTCACGTGTTCTTCATCCGGATTTCTACATCTTTCCCAGGATAGAGCCCATGGCTTGACCCATTTCGCGGGACCCGAGCTTAGTTTAAGATAAATCTGGCCTGGACATGTCGGCAAATCACAGAACGTACGCGCAAGTTCGCGCAAGGCGCAAGCGCTAGAGGATTTTTGCGGGTCTTGCACACCCTGCCCTGTGTAGTGTCCTTGGAAATGCCGATGAATCGATGCTGGTCAGAGCATGCCTCGCGACAAAACTCAACAGAACACGGAGGCAATCTGGGAAAGGAAAATTGGAGAACCTGGGATGTGTAAAAGGTCTGGTTTCGCCAGTCACGGTGATGCTGCGGTTTTGCGTAAGTGAGATGTGTTAGCGACGCTGTAAAGGTGCAGATGGGGCCCCGTTCTCAGATTTGCCGTGTAGCAAAAGCCTTCTGAAGCTTGGGCATTCGGCCTTTTTGCCCAGGTCAAGACTGACATCGTGGCCCTGATCTTGTTTGGAGCCCAAATCTTTCGCCACCTGGCGGTGCGATGGAAAATCAAAAAGAAAAATGAGAGGTCCACCTACACAGATGGCCTGCTGCCGCCAAACTGCGCTCACTTTGGCTGCAATCTTACTGGTTGGGGTGTGGAGCTGCGTAAACATAGCCACGAAAGCCACAGCTTTGCATGCCCTGTGAGTCAGCCGGTGTCATCTGTCAAAAGACCCAAGTCTCTGCTGCAGGGTAGCAGACGCAGGGCAGCTGCTTCAGGCACTCTCCTGACAGACCACGTTCATGACTTCCGCGTCGGTCGATCTGCGATGAGCCACTTGCACTTTGCCTCAGCCTTATCGCCATCTTGCAAACCAGACCGTCCCACTGCATCTCTAGTGAGATGGAGCGCCACAGCATCCCACAGCAAAGACCTCACATCCTGACGCTATGCTTTTCACAGACGTGCGATCTTGTCCATCCAGACCTTTCTGACAAGCTGCCTGAAGGCCCATAGTATATGAGGCTTGCATACTCCATCATACTGTATGATCTCCACGTATAGTCTCGGTCAACAGCCCAACATGAGGGCCCTGCACGTCCGTATACAGTACTTGTGGGATTCTGGGTTAACATGTGCATGAAATAGTAGCCGCTGCATCATTCCCATGTAACGGCATTTGTCTGCGCTGAGGCCGTGCTGGGCTTGGGCAGCTCCGTTTACGTCTGCCGCCCAGGTTACACCTTTTGCTAAACAATTGAAGACATGACTCAAGACCATGTACCGTGTACTGTTGCAGTGAGCCGGGAGCCTTTGTAGCACTGGGACAATCACTGCTGGCAAGCAGGCCCTCAATTCTGAATCACAACAGTGTCATGATGAGTGACACATGTTCAAGGCCAAGAAACTGGCCGGCATTCTTTTCCCTCATGCTTCAGCCCGCATAGCCTGAACCTATCAAATTCCTCCTCAGCGAGCGCACAGCCGGTCCTGAAAAGATATGAAGAACACATAAGAACACCATAGAACAACCCGAGGCGGATGCCGGCCACTTCTGCACAGCAGCTGCGTGGGCCCTATGCGCGGCGGTGATAATGATAATGTTGATGAAAACGACGACGATCACTTGCTTCCAATAGAGAGTGGCTTGTGGTGCAAAGTCGAGGATCTGCAAAGTGCGGCCAGCAGAGATGACCGGATGACTGAAAGTTTTCCGTATGTTGCGACATGTGTGGGCTACACTGTTCTTGATGCTCGCTTCGGCAGAACAGAAAAACAACCATTAAAAGAGGCTGGTGGCCTCTCTCTAACCTTTCAGAACAACAAGACAAGGATGGACGGGATACCAGTAGCCATTCTTCAGTGTCAAGTTTGCACAGGAGTAGCGGTTCTTAAGAAAGGATTGTTAACCCCTGACCAGGGACCTCCAAACAACAGTCCCCAACCTCATTTGACACCCCTGCCCTTGGGGGTCGACCCAGACAAAGCGGCAAATGCTAAACTTTTTTCGAGGCCCTCGACCTACTGCACAGTTGTTCCAGGTCCGAGCGGACGCAGCGATGGCAGCTCTAGGAGCCCGCAGAGTCGCGCGGCTACTTCGGGTGCGGGCCCTGAGAGATTACTTGCGTCTGGAGATGCAGCGATAGTCCTGAAGTATGCAGACCCTCCGTGTACTGTAAATGTACCAAACCGACACATCCCTGCCATGGTCAGGTCACAGACACCCAGGAATTTGGGAGCCAGGCCTTTGGATGGAGCAATAGTTGTCAGGGAAAAGTCTAATAAAGATCTGTGTGCTTAAGTTATAATAGATATTGGCGAATTATGACTGCAGCATTCCCCCAAATCTTACATTTCCGGGATACGTTCATATTGCAAAATTAAACCCCCATCGGCAGAACGTGTCGGCGCGATGAACTCTTCAATGGTGCCAGACTGCCTCCCTATCCCTGAACGGTCTTGCAGAACGTTCCAATTGGAACATGATGGCAGGGATTCATCCAAGCTAAAAAGTGCAAGTTTGACAAATCTCCAGGGAAGAATGGAATGCCAACAAAGCTAGGTCAGCATGGAGTGCCCTTGCCGTCCACTAGTCCGCTTGCAGCTGGTGATGGTTTGTGTCCCTGTGCATATGCAGTTGATGAAGCAGGCGGGCTCTTGGCAGATGGAGTTCCAGTCCGCAATTTCCGCACAGCCGGCACGATTCTTGTCACTACGAGTAGTTGATGATACCTAGGACCATATGACGAGCATTGGCCACCTAGTACAACAATCAGGAATGAGGCGGAGTCAATATCATAAAGATTGTCGAGAGCAGCCAGAAAGGCAACAAGCAACCGCGCGGCCATGGTGACCGCAAAAGATCCTTTAAATGAGAAGCGTCGTGGTGCCGCAAATGGATGAGCTTCAAAGGCTTCAGCAAAGCACCTCAGACAGGCTGCTCTGAGGGCCATCGAGATTCCGCAGGCCTCCCTTGCTTCAGACGCAGCGATGCAGTCTCAACATCCGGATCCTCGTTTCGGGGTACTTGTTTATAGATTCCCATAGCATAGTTGGAGCTAAGAAGGGTTGGTCCCTTGCGTTAGGGTCCATCTACTGCAGGGGCCAAGCACCGCTTGCAGCTGTAAGGGTCAATGTGTGCCCTGATGTCTTGACCGCCTAGAGGGAAAACAGGACCATGTAATAGTCCTGGTCTGGTTGCGTGCCAAGCCAGATTTTGCCTGCCAGTTCTACAGAGGGCAGGGCATGATCATGGTCATGCCAGACATTCTGCTTCTTCAAGAAACGCCATCTGTGTACAATCCTTTCTTGTAAGCCATCTCCTGTTTGCGCTCGGGTTTCTACAGGATCCGGCATTAGACCGTTATTGCTCCTGTCATCCTGAACAGGTGCCAGGGGTTGAGGGGCGTGCTGCCGCCGAGGCTTGGGGACCGCTGACTGTTTGCATACGAATTGTTTCAATTTGTTCGGAGTGGATATGTGGTTCATCTTAAAGCAACAGATTCAAACTGAACTTGGTTGAAGGAACCCAGCTTGCCTCAGGCCGCAGTATCGCCGACGGCCCCTGCTGAAGGCCACTTGGCGATCTCTTTGATGACTTGTCAGGGTCACAGTAACGCAGTCCTCAAATAAACAGTTTGGCACTTTCCTGTCAGCAGTGTGTCAAACACGTGCGGCAAACCCAAACTTACCTGCACGGACGAAGTGCTCAATGTGCTCAACAGAGAAAGCCCTTAACGAAGCCTGCCTCAAAGCTGTTTCAGAACATCTCCGCGATTCATTGGCAACGGCGCGTTGTGAAAGCGGTTGCGAGGCAACGATGAGGGCTCGGAGTCCGACGATGATAGCAGCACAACAGTCAGCTCAGGCGCGCTTGCGCGGATGCTCGATCTATTAGCCTTTAATTGCCACTACTGTGCTCCATTGCCGTTGATGAGCGCGTCCACCTGAGCATAGCATTGGGCTTAGCTGTATGACTTCATGTCCTCAGTTTCATGAACGCAGCGCAGATGCAGCATTCCAAGTATTCAGCTAGCCAGGCGAAGCGAAGCTTTCCGAGCAACAGTCACAGTCAGACAAGGAACTCTGGTGTTTGATCTCATATCTCCAGCAGAGCGCTGATTCTCTGCAAGCAGGCTGTGCCCACACAGAAGCATGAAGCGGAAGCGCAAGGTGCAGTCTGCGATCTCAGGTGAGCAGAAACCTAATGTGCAGTTCACCCCGGCAAGTGTGGCTGATGAAGATCCGGTGGCTGACCAGATGCAAGCAAACCAGGGCCGCAAGGATGAACTGGAGCCACTGTCTCACGAAGAAATGTCACAGACATATGGGATTGGCTTCTCTATTCTTCGTCGTATGGGCTACAGTGGAGCTGGGTTTAAGCCTGGAAGCTTACACGCTCCCCTGGCTGCGCGCGCCAACGCCGGTCGGCAGGGCCTGATGCAGGCTGCGGAAGCAGAGGAAAGCCAGAAGCTTGAGGACCCCCCAGAGCAACCAGCAGTGGACTTGACCAAGCTCCTGTCCCAGACCTTACGTAGCATGCGCGAGGCAGGGGATGACGATGAAGCCTGCGAACTTGAGCACCTTGCCACTTTCTGTAATCTGCAGGGCGGAGCATTGGAGGCTTTGGAGCCCAGCCGCCCCAAGCGAAAGCGTAAGACCGAGAAGATTCCCCTCATCAAGCCAGGCGATGCTGCTGATGAGCAAGCCTTGACGTGTCTGCTGAAGTGCTTTGAGGATCAGAACTTTCCTGTCGAACTACAGGAGCAGTCTGAGCATTTGCGCTGGCAAGCCTGTTGGGGTGCTACCCACGGATGTTTGGAAGACTTCGTAGCCCGCCAGGAAGGCCAATTGCGTATTGTCATGTGCCCAGGAGGGGCGCGTATCCTTCTGCCCCGGCAGCCCCAGTCAGAAAGCACGGAGAAGCTCTTGCGGCAGAAGTGCATGGACTTCTGCGTAAAACAGCGGGCGCAGTTTGCCGGCAAATGCCAGGCCCGACGCAAGTGGCAGCACCTCATCAAGACCCTGGCCACTCTGTTTCGGGGCCGAAGCCAGAGCAACTCTCGGCCCCCCCGGGATCGGGACAAGGTTGAGTGTGCTGCGAGCGCTTTACCCGAAGTTTCAGCAACAAGCTTCAAGAAAGTCTCGAACATCTTGGCTTCTGCGTCGCTGGATGAAGACACTGACGCTCCCTGATTGCAGCTATGCCCGCTAGAACTCGCCATAGTCGCTGCTGTAGTCACAAAAGCTAGTTTCGGGGAGCTTCGAGAGGTCTTGTGTGCCAATTTAATGTCCTGGGCGACAGCTATGGCCCGATATTTTGTAGATTTAGAGGCTCGAGCGCGGGGGAGGGCCCCACCATGATCTAACATCAGGAAAACCCACAATTGTGGTCACTCTGACCTGAAGGCACCCCCCCCTCCCCCCCACCTGTGGACCTTCTTTGTGCACACCATGGTTTGTTGGACATGTTTTTGTGGATCTGCGATGGCTAGATGGTGGTTTCGTTTTAAGTGCCTTTAGCGATCTAGCTTTCGTCCGCGCTGCTCTCAAGTCAGCACATGTACATAACGCTACTGCATGCAGAGAATCGAGGCAAGGGAGACACATCCTGGTCAGTTGCAACAGCTACACCATCCCGCCGAACACCCTTCTGGCACTAGTAGTGCATGTGCAAAAAAGTGTTCCTGTCGGATCTGCAGATTTTGCAAAGGCTCGAACAATGCACAAATTCTCCATAACACCCCTTGTTTATCTGTGCTCTGGCAGGAAATGACCAAAAACCTACCGATCGGTCCCACCGCCAAAGCACAACTACCAAGCTGACTTCCAGTAAAAGCGAAATCATGGGATAATGGGGATGGATTTTTCCATCCTTCACTTTAAAAGCCAGCCCAGGCAGAGGTTGCCGCACTTCGCTGGACAATGGACTGCGGCGAGCTGGGCAGCAACGAAAAAGACCTGCTGGTTGGTTACTGAAGACCCCTCCCCCTTCTGTCTGTAAATCTCGCCTAGAGGAAGTCTCAGCGGAAAGGTCTTTGTGTAGAGTATTCTTCTCAAAAGATACGAAAGTATGAGTGTTATCACCATCGACACAGTGCGGTACTTGCAAATGCTCCTCTTCTTCTTCTTCTTTTACCTGTTGCTTTTGGTTTGCAATGTTGTTGTGGTCATGAAGTCCCTGAAGAGTGCAGGTGAAGCTGCAGCTGGTCAGGGAGCTGCGCCGGCGGCTCAACGGCTTACAGTTCCTCAGGAGATCTGTTGGACCATATCTCGGTATATAATGACCCCGTTCATGCACGCCCTCCACCCGCCGTTTTTTCAGATTCAATGCCGTAGTTGGAGTCGTATCCAGGACTTAACAGAGAGGCGACTGCAGCAGGAGGGCTTCAGGCATGATAGCCCTTGGTAATAGATCGAGGCATCAGGATCAACTTGATATGAGAACACCGTTTACAGGTGTTTTGATGCTGCAGCCCCGCTTCTAATTAGCAGACAAACACCGGCATCCTTACGTTTTTCCCGCGTTCATTTGTGCTATCAATTCAGCTTTTACCTGGAACGCAAAAGGTTTTTCTCCAAGCTCTTAAAACCTGACAGTCCAAATCAGGTCGGACGTAGAAGAGCTGGCGGAGGGCTGCGCGGGCGAGACGGTCAAAAAGCCTGAGGCGAATTTGGGCTTACATGCGCTGGGTTTCGGGCGCGAGGTTGGTTCAGCAGAGTGGAGCACCCAGCGCATAGCCACTAGAGCAGATGCTTTTGCATAGACTTCTGTAAATTATCAAATATCTCTTCTCGTTTTGGAGCCAGGCCCGCCAGATGCTCACCACGAAGCATCGTGCGCAGTTGACAAAGGAAGGCCGATTCATGAACCCTTATAGGCTTCAGGATTCAACTGAAGGTGTTTGGAGTTGAGTTTTGGCCCGGCCCCAGCCACCACACAGTCGCAAGCATTCAGTTGCTGCACACAAATTCGAAGGGATTGCTGCTGCCAAGCCCTCAAGCTTCATGATGTGGACTTGAATCCAAAATTGACCAGAAAGTATACCAAGCCGCAGAGTCCCCCCCCAAAGGGCAGGAAGGAACTAGTGACTCTTGATACGAGACGCGCGCCAGTCTAGGACTCCTTAGCAAATTCTTTGGTCGCCGAGAGGTTATAAGATCGTGGGTTCGCATTCGGCCGTGAAGCTCTGCCGATGGACGAAGCATCAGCTGAGAGGCTGGGTGACCTTCTTCTGCTCTGGGTTCATATTGCATGAAGACAGACAAGTCTAAGCTGACCTTACCCATGGCTGGCCTAGCTGGACCAGTCCATCCAAGTACTTTGAATTCCTGGATTTGGGATCTAGGGGCTAACGTGCAGCCCATAAAGACCTCCCAACATCAAAAATTACAAGCCTGAATCGAACCCAGATCTGGGCCAAAACTGAGCTGCAAGGCAGAGGGGGCTGCTACAAGCACTCCTTCTATGGCATCACCTCCTACCAGTGCCTGGCTCTCAGACCTTCGTGGCCCAGACCCTCAGGAAGGTGAAAAATGCAAGCTTTGCTCTTCTCAGAGCCAAGATGCCATAAGACGTCCACCACCTTGTAAGGGCCTTGGAGAGATAGTTCTACTTTTCTACAGCAAGCATTTTTTCCTCACCGAGCTGCGTGAACACAAGCTCCTTGAGCTCCGGAGCCTTTGAGTTGGACGCCGATATTGGCGAAGCGCCCAGACGCTTGCGGAAGCCCTGCAGCTGAGGCATGGAGGCGACACCCTCCTTGGCATGCAGGGGCCTTTGGTGGCTGCAGGGCAACTGCTGCAACAGCCCTCAGGAGTTACAGCCCTGATCTTGAAGAGCGGTACGTACGTTGGAAAGATTTTTGCCCTTCTGCCATTTAGACGCACCAGCATTCCAGCAAAGTCGGTTGTCCCAAATCAGGCGGGCGATGATAGTGCAGAACAGCGTGGTCCAAATGCCATTCCACATTTCATGAAGGTGTCACAGGTCTGTTAGGGAAGGGCTCTGTAAGGATAACTTGAGGCAAAGCCTGCCAGAAGCCAGAAAATAGCAAAGGGCCACCAATTGCATGGGGAGGCCCACTTATCAACTATTATCAACTAATGGTTTGATATGCGGGTGCTAATGTGAAAAGGTTACTATGTCCTTGAGCCCCTGAGGCGCCAACAAATGTGTTTTCTGTTGGCGCCACCACAAGAATCCCGTTGGCCTGCGCCTCTGAGGGACAGCGGGTCTGTGGGTTCAGCTTTACTTCTGAAGACTTTGCTCACTTTCTGACAGAAGCTTTAATCTTGCCAGCACCGTAGTTCACAGTTTCAATGCTTAGGACTTGGGAGACTCCTTGAAACATCCTTCGACTCCAGAATACAACACGGCGATAATGACAACGAACGCCGACCCAATATGTTCCAGAAGTGCTGTTGTTTCTAGCGATTCGCCAGGAACGCAAAGCTGAGGGAGGGATGGAGAAACCAGGAAGTAGCCATGCCATTCTCCAAGGAACGGAATGGAAGTGGTCGATGGACCCCCCAGACCAGAACCTGGCCCGCAGCCAGAGCTACGGATTTCACAGCAGTCCTGGGCAGCTTTCGGAGTTTGGGGGAACAAGACTTTGTTTGCAGGCAGGCGTGGCTTTGAGCTTTGAAAGACAGCTAGGGTTGGGATTGCAAAGTTTAGAACCTTGTCCGCCTTACCAGAGGCCTGACAGACCTGGTCTTGTGGAGAGGGAGCCAGTTACAGGGATCCATGCCGCTGATACAGAAAGCTAGGGACTTGAATGCAGCACAGCCTCCCGTACTGAGGATTGTGGCTGAAGGCATCGATCAGCATCGGAGGCTCCTGTCCTCATCCTTGCTCCAATGCCATCTAACCTTCGCATGAACAGGATGATCCGGGAGTGCAAGGGCTAGCACCTCAGAGCATGTTACAGCTGCACAGCAATGGCTTTTTGGCATGGTTCAGGGCTATCTCGTAGCACCCAGGTATTCCTGGAGTGAAGAAGGAGCGCTTCGAAGAAGCCATGACTGTCAGGCACAATTGTCAGTCAGCAGTGGATATCTTTGCCCCGTCCTCCTTTTGCCGGCAAAAAGGCACTGCGCATTGTCGCTTGTCGGCGAGCCGATCATGTGCGCCGCCCGATGGGAGCCAACCTGGCCGCAGAGGCCTTCTGCTTACGTGGTGTGCGGCTGCAAGGTATCCTAGGATCAACGAGCTTGTCGGCGAGCTGCATAAGAGGAAGTTCTGCGCCCAGCTTATTTCAGTTTGCAGGGAAGTCAGCCTGGCTGTCCAGCTGACATGACGCACTCGTATCAAGAGATCTGCAACATGAGAGCACACTCAGCAGAACAGTAGGCAATCGGAAGCAGATGCCAAAACCTGAAATGCTACCTCCTCCTGTTTGGCTGGCCCAAGAGGACTGCTGTCGTATTTCAATCATGACGCCTATGGAATGCTATCATCCTAACTGTCCTAAACTGACTTGTGATTCCTCCTCCGCCCTTCCTGCGGTGCTATGGCTCAGGATCTCCACCTTCCTCGTTACCAACGCCCAGTGCTAGCCCAAGCCAACCAGTTCCAGGCTGTCAGGCTAAAACATGGTTTTCAAAGGAATTGCGAAATTTTGCAAAAGGTCTACATTGTACAATATGGAATATATTTTCATATGCGCAACGCTCATAATTATTGCTCGGTCCGGGTAGGGGGGGGCTCCAGAGGTATCTAAATGCTGTGGTTGATAATTCTGCAAGAAATTGGCGGTCAAAGTTTCAAACTAGTAACTAGCCCTGATATGTGGCTGTCGTGAGCAGATGAAATCTGTAAAGATTGTAGGTTCAAACCCGCTCTGGTTTCTGCCAAGGTTTCCAGAGGCCATCCGAAACCTCAATCCCATCACGCAGCTGTATGTGAGTTTTGGGCTAAGAGAGCTGCAACGCAGGTCGTCATTTTCAAGGCAGGTTGCAGGATGCATGTTTCGCAAGGCGCATATGCGGACGAACGTTGCATCAGGGGCAAAATACTGGCAAGCATGACTTTGCAAGAACAGGCATCATGTTTGCTTACGGGGCTGTGCAAGGATCTCCAGTTGAAACCCGAGGCGTGGACGCGGGGACAGAGGAGACGCTGAAAGCCGTTGATAGGCACTCCATGATGGGAATGAGCGACCAAGTACATTCACATTGCACAATGCCGTATTGCGAGCCATGGTTTCTCGCGATGAATCTACGCTGAAACTCCATTTGCGCAGCAACTGCGCACCTTCACATGCCATCCCGCGCCTACACGATCGTCCCTCAATCACACTTGGCTTTGGTTGATGGAGGCCGCTCTTCTCCGATTTCTGGCAGAGGTATTTGGACTCGCTGAAGGCTGCCGCCTTGACTGTCGTGCATACGCATACTTTAAGGCTAACTTTGGAGCTGAACATCAGTGTGTGTTTGTCAAAATCTGTCAGGCCACTTGAAGCATGTTGCCCTGATTGGTGGCAATACGACATTCAACATGAGATAATTTCGGGCTTCAACGCTTTGCTCAAACTTAGCATTTTTTTTGGCTTCTATAACCGTCAATTCAATGAACTGCCGCTCAGGCGCTGAAGGCCAAAAGGCAGCGAACCGTCTACAGACTGACGCTGGTCAAGGATGGAATCATTTGAGAGCGAGGGCTGGGATTTAGATTTGAAGCTTGGTTTCGTGAAGACGTGTCAGCTAGGGAATTTCTCTCTGCAGGAGTCAAAAAGCACATTGCGTTTGGGCATATTCTTAGTAGGACCAGTTGCAACACCTACAGCAACATGTCCTCGCTGCCAGGGTCATAACATGGCGGAAGCAGCGAACTATGCGAAGCTCGTTGCGCTCCAGCCCAAGATACCAGGACGTTCTGGATGATTTTTCCTTGACCCTGTGGGCAAGCACGCTTGACCGGCATGATCCGGCATGCCTCAGAATGGAGAATGCAGGTTTTACATAACACTCCAAGAACATGACGGTGATATTGACGCATCCCTAATTTTGGACCAGCCTAGTGAATTTGAAGCGAGGGGATCTTCGTATCTAGCATCCAGAGCCGCAACACTGTTACTAGTAAGAGGTATTGAAACTCGGCATGTGAGAACGCTTGACTCTCAAACTCAAGATGATCACTCGTAAGTAGCTTTGGCAACTGAATCCTCAGGTTGGGAACGCCAGACTTCATCGAGATCAAGTCAGTCACCTTCTGTGGCGAGTCCAAGGTGCTACAACTCCACGATTGCCACATACAAACAGTACCACCTAGGTCCTCCGATTGTCACTATCCACGTCAATAAACGAGGTGCTTCAGAATGTCCATGTGCCCAGCTTTGCATTTTGATTACGTACTTGAAGACATCCAGTTGTAGCTGAAGTCCGTCTGATCGTCATGATCACGCCAAGAAAGGCCACCAGAATAGCAAGTGTCCACGGATGATATGGTGTTACATGTTGATGCTTGTGCCTGCGGATAGCTTTTGTGCTTGAGGACATAGCTTGTGCCTGCATGAGTAAGGCTTTGGAAAGGGCGGCATACCCGAACTTCTCGTGCACTTCCAGCGTAAGAACGCTAATTAAGGCAGTCATGAAGTCCGTTCTGACATCAACTCCTTTTGAATCCCTGGTGATGCGACGTTGCTACCGGGTTGGATGTTGCTCTAACCACGTCTGCAGAGGCCTCCTCACTGACCATCGAGTGCACACCGTGGCATCAAGAGGCGGTGGCCTCGGACTTGTCATGAAACGGGAAGGTGGGGTGGAAAGTGGGGACCCCGCCCTTCTTTCAAATGGTGCTAAGCCTGCGCACGCAATCGCATGCAGTTCAGGTCAAGGCTTTCTCAGAGGCCATGCTCTCGAAGGACCGAGCCAACTGCAGTGAGCGCGAGCTTGTCTCCCATTTGTGCATCTTTGTAGCTTGTAACTGTAAATGTCCTCGATCGTACTACAGGAAGAACAAACTGCAAGGGTCCAATGATTGTCAACAACCGTCCTACCATCTATCCACGCCTCGCTGCCCGGCCAGGAGGGCTTGGACTCGCAATACGAACTCGCCTGCGAGCACCAGCATAGCTGCATTGAGCAACTGGCCAGCTTGAGGGATGTAGAGCGGGCTGTGCAGGGGATTGCTGGAAGTTACCGTCTAGGAATGAGGGACTATATTCGATCTCTGGGGTGAGGGGTTAGGCTTTGACATTTCAGGGTTCATGTGTGCAAATCTCTCAAACATGATATTCTCTCGAGTTTTTTTATACACCTGGCATCACCTGGCTGTCTTCCACAAAAGACAGCCCTCTGTTGGGATGGTTGCTCATGTGGATGTTTATTGCCAGTTTCCAACAATAGTAGGCCCTGGAAGGCCACGATCTTCCTGAGATCTCCCTGGAGTCCCTATATACTTACTTGGTTTTGGCAGATGCCAATGTCGCAGCACTTGCCAGGTTCTTCTCGCCCACAAGCGCTACAAGGTCGGCGCCTGTTGGCTGAGCTTTAGTAGGTCTGGTGCAGCAGCGTAGTCCTCAAACAGCCCTTGCATACTCCCCATCAACTCCCAAAACTGTGGGGTTTTGGGAATAGGTTTTGAGTGAAGGGTCCAGCAGGTTGATGGGCGCTGGCATACCTGGATCGACTATGATCGCTTCCACGAGCTTGTCAATTCAGGTGGGAAGATGCGTATTATCAGGATTAAGGATATGATTGACGTAGGTCTCAGATGACAAGGTACGGGTACCCAGTGGAGGGTCCCGGGGTCTCTGCAGATCTAGAGTCGAGGGATGGACAGGTTGCGGATTTATCGTCATGCTGGGCAGGTGTGGACTTTGAGGCAAGCGATTACTGGGCTCCCACACCGGACTGGGCGCTCTATGGCTCTGACGAGGCAGAATCCAACGGACGACAAGAGCGCTGTTAGTGGCTCGTCACCTGACTTTCTGTGCTTGACTTCCTCATAGAACTGAGCGCAAGTCGTTCTTGCGACAATGTACTGTGCATCGCAACATTGCAAAAACAGTCCCCGCAGGCCGGGTTTGATCCCAATGAGCTGGAGTCTCAGAACAAATGTGCAAGTCTGAAGCTGCTTTGTCGCTTTGAAGTGTCAACCTCCGCCTTCCGCCAGGACACGCATGTATCACAACCGCACCAAGAAGCGGGCCCAAGCCGGCCTCCTTTCAAAGGCAGGGACGGCAGGGTTTGTATAGAAAAGCCAAGCACTAGCCCCTATATACAGTGAGCCCTGGGATTTTGACCTTGCGGACTAAGCTTGTTTGCAGACGCCTGGCCTTCTGTCTGCTGGGAAGTACTGTGGCCGTAACATGAACCAATCGAAAGGCAAGGTGTCACAGCCGCCTTGCACCGCCAGGAGCAGCTGAAGATGTATCCGCAAAATCCGGCCGAGCAGTAAGCGCCGATGTACATCTTAGAGACTGCCGCATGTGAAATGGAAGCTTGAAGAATTGGACAAGATGGGCTTTCCAGTTGTTAATCATAGTCTGATGATGGTAGAGCGCTAAGAACCAGACCGTCCAAGTCTTCAGGTCTCCAAGACTTTTTTCTGCTTGCCCCGTGGCTACATTGCGTTAGACAAGAGATACATTCTTGAACAAGAAGAGGTTGTAAGACTCTCTGCTGCTTCTGAGGTGCAACAGCCACAGGCTTGTAGTTGGTAGTTAGGTGGGCAAAGGGCCAGACCTTTGCAGACCCGACTTCGTAGATGGCGTGGCCATTTCTGCCAGTGACGAAAGATGATGGCCTCTAACATCGGTCCTGTTGATTCTGATGGAGTTGTGCGTCCTGTGAATGACGGTGCGAGGCATTGGCGTCAGATCTTTCTGCATGCTTGTATGGAGTGCTGTTAGGACTGACGGATCTTGGCAAAGTGGGACACTTCTCGGTGCTTTGCCAACAAGGAAGCAAGTAGGGCTGCCTCGGGCAGGCCGTGCGTCAACTGGCATTCGATTTCTTGCAGCGTCCTATACACGTCCACATCGGCCATGTGCCCAGCTAGCTAGCTCGTTTGCATCTTGGTTGATGACACTGATCCGAGGTGAGATGAACACCGCGAAAGCGAACACGGACGTGACTCAGCACGTCGTTCTCCTAGACAGGCCCAGTGTTTGTTAGCTTCCTCGTCCAATGTGCTTGTGATATGCGTCGGGAGGCCGGGCGACAAAGACGACAAGTGATGCACACAGTTGGCCCAAGAGCATTGTTCGCCTCGGAAGAGCAGTCTGCAATGTCCAAGGCAGCAGATTTGTGATTACGTAAAGCGACTGATCATTTCCTGAGGCTGGACGAGATGCTTTCTGAGCATCTCGGTGAGGCGCGGAGATGCCTCCAGCAGTGGCAAAAGAGCTTTCTGGTATTCGAACATATTCCCTTCCAAGCTGGAGATTTCAAAACCAGAGTGCAGCGCTGTGCTGGAGCAGACACATGGGCACGCTGTTGAAACTTCAAATTCCAGGACGAGCTTGCGATCGTTTTTGTTTCCACCAAGAGGAGCGTCGAGGACTTGAATGATTCTGGGGACGTCTTCCTTGGACTTCGGAAGCAGCACGGGTTGCACGCTAAGGTTCTTGCACGCCAGCAAGCATACTACAGTCATACTACACATAAGTAAGGAGGCTTGTAGCACTAGGTCACTAGGTGCAGAAGCTGATTGAAGAACAGCAGTGCCTTGCAACTGCCGAGACATGCAGAGACCATGCACTTAATCGCCTAAAGTCTTGCCAAGCAGCACAAAGAATGCGTGTATGCCTTTGAACTTGTCCTGAGAGCTACACACCAAGCTGGACCCCCCGCGTAAGTTCGCGAAGAGCCACTATGATGTCACCGGCCAGTACCTGACTGCTGGCAAAAGAAGGGTTCACTGCCCGGAGGAGATCGCCAGACTTCTGGTGAGGCATAGCTATGGCGTCACCGAGATCCACGGTGACAAGGCGCCGGCGCAAAGCTAAACCAGAACAGTGAGCTGTACAAGTGGATAAGCGAGATGTGATGAGACCACCTTACGTTGACAGCCCTTCCCCCTCAACTGTTTGCTTTCAGAGTTCCAGGATCAACGGGAGCGAGACCTCGCCCTGCGGTCCTTCACCAACAAGGAGAAACGAGCCAGGACCCTACTCGTACCTGTCAAGCTTCAGACTAAATTTCATAATCTGAGCTTGGAGCAACAGCAGCTGCCTGCATGTGGTGCAGCAGTGCTTTCCCTAGCAAGGATAATCTTTGCTGTTCCAAGCACCACATCCTTGAAACATTCAGTCGCGATGCGGGCCTACGTTTGAGACCGTCTGGTACATCAGGAACACCACCAACGTGATGAAGAATGTTTTGTTGAGAGGCACGTGGATTATCCCTCCCTGAACCGATGACTATCGGAAACAGTTTTGGACCTAGAGCTACGGAATCCGCGCAACCACCAACAATCGCAAGATAAGGTTTTGAACATCCTATTTCTCCCAACTGGACCATTGCGCAAGGGCTGGAAGCAGAACCCATTCATATTATGAGCCCGAGCTTGAATTGGCAACCATCTGTTGCAGAAACCTCGTATATCTATCATCATTGCCCCACAACGCTTTGCACCCATCAGTAGCTCTGAGCCAGGTCATGATAGCGACTGACGTGGCCTCCCGCGGCCTTGACATTAAAGGCTGGGAAGTGTGGGTTTAGGTGGGAAAGATGCTGAGGTACATTTAGGTATGATCTTCGATCTTGGAATTGCCGATCAATGTCGCTGGCATGAACCCTGTACGTAGTATGGAAGATGCTGCGGTCCCAGATCTGAGGTTGCTAAGAGGGTGGCATCGGTACCAAGCCTGTGCTCACCAGTACTTACTTGATCTTAGCAGTGCCGATTTGCGTGCTCTCAGATTTTGTTTGCTCTCGCTGACAGCCTTGCGCTGTCTTGGTGCAGGCGTAAAGCTAGTCATCAACTACGATGCCGCCAACACACCCGAGGACTGCTTTTGCAATTCACAGTACGAAAGACCAAGCAGTACTCAAAGATGGCAATCGAGCAAAGAAACCATACAATATGCCTCACAGCATCTGATTTCGGGCGCTCCCCAGGACTACGTGCACCGAATAGGACGCACCGGGCGTGCCGGAGAGAAGGGCATCTCGTGCGCTCGCAGTCAGCAGCACTACGTCATTGAGGTGTTGATGAGAGTAAAGCCATGACCATGACCCTTGTTGCTTGCACAGCTCTTACTGTGATCACCGTACATTCTTGATACGTTTGGGGTCACGCATGGAGTTCTGGGAAGTCAAGTTGTCCTAGACACCTTCCATCCCAGCAGCGAAGCATGCTCACGGTCAAAAGCTGAACAACATTTGCACGCGCTGCGCTGCTCTAGTTCAAGTGATAAAGCGCATGAATTTGATCTTGTTTGCTATTTTTTGGATGGTAAATAGTTACAGTTCCATTGACATAAAAGGCCGCCTCTCATGTTTTGAAGGAAGGTCATTAGATTTTACGCCTCTAGCTCCCGAAAATGGTAGATCCATAGAGTTAGCATATAAATATGTGTACACATGGTGCCCCGCCCCATGTACCTACCTTTTCGCACCCTTCTTGTAATCTCATTTTCAGAGAGGTCACCTTTGCCAACAGGTAAAAGAGATGAGAATGTCATTGCTTTTGCCTGGAGTCCCACCATAAAAGGGTGGTTCCAAACCACAACAAGAACACAAAATCAACAACGAAGAAATACCTCCCCGACTAATTATACACTTGTACATGTGGCGTGTGCAGGCCTTGGGGGGGGGGTGGGCTGGAGGGTCAAAGCTGTCTGGATTTGGACAGGTATGCATTTTTGGGGGTGAAAACGGACGTCCTTTGAGGCGTCTTGCATATGGCCCAAAGCCTTGGGGGGGATGGGCTGGAGGGTCAAAGGT